GATAATTCTTTCAGTATATCATAAAGATTCTGTAGAAAATTAAACAAGAAATTAATTGGAAATTAATAAAATAGATTATAAAATGTAATTTAGAAAAGAATTAACTAATAAATTAATAATATGTACTTAAATTAAAATTAGTAATATCATTCATAAAATATTAAAAGTATAAAATTTTCTTTATTTTATAATCTTTATTTTTAAATTAATTTATTAGATTTTAAAAAAGAAGTGAATTCGAGTACAGTGACTTAAAATTCAATTTAATTAATAGGAAAATTAATTTTTGAATTTCCAAATTAAAAATTAATTTAATTAAACGTAAATAAATATGATAATGCTTATGATATTGCAAATATATTTATCAATAAACATAATATAAGAAAAGATAAAATAAATTTATTAGCTTCATAAATTTAATAATTATAAGACTAGTATAATATATAAAAACATTATAAAAACTCACTAAACTATTAAAATAATAATACTACTCATATGATATAAAACAATACTTAAATAAATTCTAATTTTTTTAAAAAACTAGATATCGATAAAGGAAATAGAGATTGTTTTAAATAATAAATTAATTCTGGTCAAAATTTATAAAAGTAAATAAATATCATAATATTTTAAAAAATTTAAACTTACTTTAATATAAATTTTAAATTATTTAAGGATAACATATGATAAAACTTTTTAACATAATTAAGAAATTTAAAAAAATTCATATTATGTATTAATTTAATATATATAAAGTTTATTTTAAAAATAATTTTTAATTATCAACTTTTAAAAATAATTTAAATAAAGAATTATATAAAAGACTTTGAAGAAAAAGATGAATCATCTTCTTTAATATGAATAAATAGTTAAATAATTATAGATATTAAAAAAAAAATATAATTAAAAAAAAATTAAGTATAGGGCTATTGAAACAAATAAAATTAAACTATTATTAATTTGTTATATATTATATATTTACTATTGTAAAATTTAATAAAAAAATAAATACTATGTTTGTTTTTTAAAATTTTATTCATCTATTAAAAATATATCAAAAATAAAAACTTTAATTTGTTTATACATATTTAATTAATTAAATATTATAAATAATTAGTTTTTTTGACTATGCAATTATAAAAATTACTTAAAAATATATAATTTATTTTTTAATATATATAATTTAATTGTTAATTATAATAAATAAATAAAATATAATTTAATATTATATAAAAGAATATTGTAATTACATTAAATTTATTAAAAAATTTTAATAATGATTATTCAAATAATAAATATAATTAAATTTCATTAGATTATTAATTATAAAATAGTTTGATATCTTATTAAAAATAAATATACTATAAAATTTATAATTTTATGTAATAACTTTATTTTAAAATCATTATATGTTCATAATTTATAAAATTATAATGACATTTTATATGAAATAATCGAATATCTAATAATTAAATATCTTGATAAAGCATAATACATAGAATATTTAAAAATTTAGAAAAAATAGTTTTAATAGTTAGAATTGAATTATAAGAAAAAATAAAGAGATATTTGAGTAAGACATATTGAAAATTATGATTTAACTTATTCTTTATCTTTAAGACGACTTTGTTTAGTAATATTTATTATATAGAGTTAAATAAATATCATATTAATAATTAATAATTTTAATTTTTATATTTACATATTTACATATTTAATTTATTTAATTATAATCTTAATTTTCTTATAATTTAAAATGTTTATTATATTTTTAAACTTTTCATATATTTTTCTTAAATTTTTTTAATTTAATAATTTTAGGTTTAAAATATACAAAATTAATTTACTTAAAATAAAAAATTAATATAATTTAATAATTTTTATTTAATAAATAAATTAGTTTTTAATGATATTAAATAATAAACTAATAAAAATATAAAATATCTAAAAAATTATTATTAATAATATTAAATTATTGTATTGATAAAAAAATGAATATTTTTTGTTTTGATTTTTTCTATATTTTTTTTAAAAAGAACTGATGCAATAAAAAAAAGTATGTTGTTAAAATTTTATAAAAAATAAAAAAAATTGAATAATGAATATTTCAAAATTAAAATATAGCTTATAAACTTAATATTTATTTTGAGAAAAAGCTTCTAATATTATAAAATGTTAATAAAATTTCATTCTATAAATCTTCCCAAAAATTAAACTAGTTAACTTTTTGCGAATAATTTAAATTTTCATATTATTATTAAACATCTTTAAAAGATTTAAAAATATTATTTTTATGCATATCACAATAAATCCTACATACGTTAATACTGTTTTTTTATTTTAAAGAATTATTAGCTATTGAATTATAAATTATACTAAAGATATTAAAATAATCACAATTACTTTTTTTTTCTTAAAGAATTTAATAAACTAAATTTTCAGTAGTTTTTATTTCGAATAGCATTTTTTCTTTTTATTAATTTAAGTTTTTTAATATTTCTATTTAATTATTGTATTTTTAAATTAAATTTTAATATAAATAAGTATTTTCTTGAATATTCTAAACCATAATCTAAAGCGGTATAATGAAATAAATAAAATCAAAAGAATTGCGTATATGATTTTAAACATTTTACTATAATTATAATTAATGCCAATTTTTCGAATTCTTGTTTAAAATTTTATGAAATTATTCATCAGAATTTTTAAAATAATATTACTTTATTTTTTTATTTAATCTTAACAGTCTTAAAATTTACTTTAAATTTTTAATTACTGCTTTTATTTATGAATTTCTATTTTATTTTTTTCTTAACATTATTATTTTTGACTTTTTTTATTTTCTTATATGTCTTATTATTTATTTCCACTATTTTCATGATATTATTATTATTTATCTTCATAATCTTACCTATCTTAAATTTCTTAATTTTTTTAAGAAATAAATTTCTCAGATTATAATTCTTATTAAACTAATTTTTAAAACATTAAGTTATTTCCTTGTTAATTTTAAATTTTTTCTTGTTATTATTAATTTTCACTTTAAATTTCTTATTAATTTAGCTATAACCATTATAATATATTATCTTCAGATTTAACTTATTAATTTAATTATATTTATTCATATATACTGTGTTTTAAGTTTTATTCTTATTCTTATTAATTTTATTCATATATATTTTATTCTTGTTAAATTTAATCATATTAGTTTTATTAAAGAGTTTTTTATTCTTAATTATTATTATATATAAAATTATAATCTTCTGAAATTTTTTATTTTTTGAATTCGCAGGAGAATTAGACTAATACTTATTATCATTATCAGGGCATTATGCTAATAAACTATAAAGTTCTTATTACTAATTGTCTTTATTAATTTTTTATTTTTATTAATAAATATACTATTTATTTATTTCATTTTCTTAATTAATTTAGATATTTTAAGGTATTAAATTCTGTTTAGTTTGTATTTATTTATTGTCTTAACTATTATTCGATTCATAAAATTTATAATTGTTTAAAAAATTATAATCATCTTAAATTTTGTTATTTTTATAATTATTAGGTGAATTTTATTAATGATCATTTCTTATGACTCTTAGTCGGAATTAGTATAACTGAAAATTATTTATTCAAGGTTCATTCTTATTTTAAATTTTATTTTTAATATTAGTTATTATTATAAAAATATTAAGTGAAGTGAGAAATTAAACTTTATATTAGGAATATATATATTATTTTAATAATTTAGATGATAAATAATTTAAAAATATATTATAATGATTTTAAAATAAGTTTTTAATTGAAGTCTTAAAAAAAATTATTAATTATCGTCTATAAGTAAATGTTTTAAATAATTTACTTTAATAAATATATATAAAATATTTAATATTTGTATATATATTATATATATATATATATATTATTTTCCTTTTAAATATTTAAATTAATTATTTTTTCATTTATTAAACTAATATTACTAATATTATTTTTATTAACTAGGATCTTTATAATAAATATTATAATTAATTATATTTTACAATTTAAAGTAATATATATATTTATTTACTATCCAATAAATTTTAATTTAAAAGCTTTGCACAGAAATCATAATTTGCGTATTTATCTTTATAATTAAAAAAGTTTTGATATACATCAAATAAAGAGCACTTTCTATCCTCTTCTTTTTATAATAATTAGTGTATTTCCTTCTCATATGCATTTTTATGGCTTAATTACTAATTTAAAATAACTATTTAGTTTATTTTTTAAGATAATATTGAATTTTCACGTTACATTTTTAAGATTTGTAGGTTAACTTCATCTGTATAATTCAAAACGTATATATAAATTGAAGTACTTATTAACAAAACAATTATTAAAATAAATCTCTAAAAATTTGATTTCATTTTTAAAAACTTTTTTTCTAAAATTTAAAAAATTTATAAATAAATAAAATAATTAATATAAATATATAATAAACATTTAATATTATCATATTAAATATGATAAATATTTATTAAACTAAAATAATATTATTCTTAAATATAAATATTACTATGAATTACTTTTATTTTTATAAAGATATTTTAAAAAATATAATTTATTTTTAATTCTTAAAAAAAATCTATAAATGAAATATAATATTTTATTTATCTCTCTATTAATATTATTATTTATAAATATTGAAGGCATTTAAGCATAAGAAGAAGGTAAATAAATAAAGAAATAAATAAATAAATATATATAAAGATGATGATGAATTATTATTAGTTGATTCAGATTAAAATAATTAAAATTAATAAGACGAATATAAAATTAATGAAGAATCGATGTAAGTAGAATAAGCTGGAGGTTTTAATAATAAAATAATATTAAAAAAATAAAAATATAAAACTAAAAAGAGGGAAATATGTAAGATTTAGAATAAAATGATTAATTAAAACAATAAATAAATAATTTATATGTGACATGTATCGTACTTTCAAGATTAAAAATAAATACTTATGGAGAAAAATTATTATCCATATTAAAAAAAGTCACAGACAAAAAATAATAATAAAACCTTTATAGTAAAATTACTATTATGCATATAGTTGCATGTGTAAATTTTGGATAATAAAATATTAATATGGCTTAAACTGTAAAATAATATATTTATATATATTTTTTTTTTTAAAAAAAAAAAAAAAAACAAGGTCATTTAATAATTATAAGGTGAAAGTTTTGATATTAAAAATTATGATGATATGTTCTAATCCATAGATTTAAATTAATTTTCTAATACAAATTATTAATATGAATTAACTGAAGAAGAATAAAGTATTCTTAAATTTATTGAGTAATTTGATGAAGCAATGAAATAGCATGCTAAGAGTAGTGGAAATAAAAATAAAAAATCATCTTCTTCTCCTTTGGGTGATGGTGATGGTGATGGTGATGATGATGAAGATATTCCTTAATTAAATAATAAAGATTTTGAACCTAAAATTGGTGGTTTTTCTTTTACAGATGCATCTTAAACTGTTTAATTAGCTTATATTCTCGGAATATTTTTGGCTATATTTTCTATTATTTTATTGGGTATACGTTTTTTTCGAATAATATATTTATTAATTTATATATTTTATTTTATAAGGTTATAAAGCTATAAATAATGATAACAATGTTGAAAAAACAAAGAAGAAAGATAAAAAGAAAAAATAATAATGAATGTATTATTATATAATTATATGAACAAAAAAAAAATTATTTAAAATATTTAAAAAATATATATTTTTTTTTTATTTTTTTTAGTATTTTTGTTTTTGATTTTAATAATATTTATATATTATTTTTTTCTAATATAAAAAAAAATAAAAAATTATATTAATTTAAATATTAATGAATTTATAATACCAATAAAAAGTTGATTAACAAAATAGTAAAAAACACTTTATTTATAACAAATTTTATCGCAAACAATATTTTATTATATATTTTTTTTAAAAACAATGTTTATAATATAAAACTAATTTTTTTTAAAAAAAGAAATCATTTTACTTAATTTTATAAAAATAAATTAAATTTAGACTTTTACTTAGAATTTTTGTATATTAAAAATTTATATATTATTAGAAAAATAATAAAGCTAAAAAAAATACGATTAATCTAATAACTATATTAATTTATTATATTCTATATGCTCTTTTGTAATTCAGTCCATAAATTTAAAATGAAAATAAGGTTGAGTTAAAATGTTTCTTCTTATTAAAAAAAATAAATATAATTTTTTTTTTAATTAACTTATAAATAATACCTATTTTACAAATTTAATAAAAATTATATAAAAATCCGCAAAAGCCCTCAGTTATTATTTCTTAATCCTTTTTATTTGATTTAAGATCTTATTTTTTTTATCTTCTTATGAACCCAACTTTTTTTATACATTTGAGTAATAAATCTTTTGATAATTTTCTATAGCAGTAGGTATTACACATCCTTTAACCTTTATATGTATATTTTTTATTTAAAGTCAAGGGTTTTAAAAATTGCCTTAATGAAACATCTGCATGCATATCCAACTATATTTTCTAATAAATATAAGAAAAGTTTTTTATTGCCTAAATAATTTTTTAAATTTGATTGTTAAAGATTTATTCTTTTATATAATTAAACATATATATTATCTTATAAAATTAAACATATTTTTTGTTAATTTAAACTATTTATTTTATTATATAGTTATAATTAATTGCTTAAATATCTTTTTTATGGATTAAGCATAAGAATTTTTATTTACTTTATAAATTATTTTTGATTGCTTTTTTAATTTTTTAGTTTATAAAAAATAAATGAAAAATAAAATGAAATTAGTTTAAATCTAAAATCAGATAAATTTGATAGTTTTTTAATATTATTGCATAAATAAAAAGGCATTATTTTATGAAATTGTTATGAAAAAAGATTTACAAATAAATATAAAAAAATATTTAATTTTTTTTAAAAAAAAGAAATATTAAAATATAGAAGTCAAATTTCGCAAATGTTTTTTTTAAAATTATTATTATTATTTTTTTTGTTTTTGTTTTATTTTTAAAAACTCGATCTACAAAAAAAAAGCCTAGAAAAAACAGATTATGATTTTATTTTTCAAAAAAAAAAAGCATTACTGAATAAATATAATAAAACCCTAATAAAAAGCAATATTTGAAATTTAATATTTATCTTAAATTACTATAAAATCCTCGTAGCTCAATGGTAGAGCAGTGGCCTCCTAAGCCAAAGGTTGTGAGTTCGAGTCTCGTCGGGGATGTTTTTTTTTTATTTTTGTATATTGATTTTTTTTTGTTAAAATTCAATTTTTTATAATTTAAATTTTTTTTACATTCATATTAAATTATTTAATAAGAATATTTTTTATGAATTCATTAAAAAAATATATATATACATTCTCTAAAAAAAAAATATATAGAGAAATATAATAAATTTTGTATTTATTTCTTTATTTATATGTTAAAATTTTATTTAGTCTTTTTTTTTTTCTTAAAAAATAATGTTTTAATTTATAGTTAAAATAAAAGTTTAGTTTATTTTATTATAATATAAATATCATTTATCAAAATATTTTTTTTAGAAAAATAAGTAAAGTCTTTGAAAATCCTACTTTCTTATGTTTTTTTTAATTTTAATTTAAGAAATTTAATAATTTGCATTTTTTTATTTATTACATTTTTTAAATTAATACTATCTCATGTATTATTCTTATTTTTTTTATCAAATTCAATATTTATTAGTTTATTGACTTAATTTATAATTATTAAAAAATATTTACTTTATTTTAATATTCATGTGTTAATTATCTAAATTTATTAAACTATATACCAAGATGATTTAATTTTTATTTTTTGACATATTTACTATTAAAAGAACTTTATCAATTTTTTTTTTCTGGAAAATATTTTTCATAATATCAAACTATTTCAAAAAGAATAAGTCAAAATTAATATTTATTTTTAGCTTATATTTATTTTTTTAAACCATCTAAATATTATTAAGATTATATGATTTTAAGTTATGAAATAATATTTTTGTCAAAATTTTTTTTTCTTATCTTATATCTATAATATCTTAAGAATAATTATTTATCTAAATATTCTTTGCTTTTGTATTGTATTTTTATATTATTGTTTAGAAAGAGAAATTATTGATATATGGCTATAATTATTTTTTTAAATATTTTATTATTGTTAATGTTTTTTTGCTTGGTTTTATTATACGAAAAAAAAATTCAACCTTCATTAGATAGATTTCAATATCTGATTAACTTTAAATTAGTTTTTTTTTTATAATAATCAAGAATTACTATAATTGTATTCTTATAATAAATCACTAAATTCAACAACATTAATTACTAAAATAAGGGATGCAGAACCTATATCTTTATGTCTAAAAGTAATCATAGTTACAGTAGCAAAACAATAAGCTCTAATATATTTAACATACCAAACAGATTATTAAATAGTTTATTTTAAAAGCAAGAAATACAAGAAAAATTTATTCTTGATTAATTCCAAAATAATAAATAAGATACTAAATGAGCTAAAAATACAGTTGTAAAAAAGCTTTATAGTATTTGGATTTAATTGGAAAATTTTATTTTACAAATTTTAATTAAAGAATAATAATAAAAAAAAATATATTATATTTATATTTAAAATAAATTACCGACACATCGCTAAAAGAATGTAAAGAATTTTTAAGCATAAAAACACTAATAATATTGAAAATAAAATAATATGATAAAGTAAATTTCTTAAGTTAATTAACATTTTTAATAGAAATTAGTATTCATATTAATTAGTTTATTAATATTGATTAGAATTTAAGAAAATTAAAGTTTTATATATTAAAAAAAAAAATATATTAATTTTAAATCAAATAGCATACCAAATAAATTTATATACTGATGAAGAAGAAAAACTTAAAATATTAATAAAATAAGTTATATTTTTTTTTGAAAAGAGATGCTTTTAAATATTATACTAAGCCTTGCCTCTCCAAAATATATTCTAAGTAAAATTATTTTATTGATTATAATTTTCTTTTTTTTTGAAAATTATATAATTAATTAATAATACTTATTTAATGATTGTCTAATTATTTAAAAATTTATGATTATTTTAGAAGAAAATATAGATACAAATTATTTAATCTTATAACTGCTATATTATATATAATTTTTATCAAATCAAATCACCAAACCAAATATACCATTATTTATGCCCTATTTTATAATTAGATATTTACTTTATTGATATAGATAATTCCAATTAAAAAAGCTGATTTATATTAAAAATTATAAATTGCCTTTATTTGCAAGGTAAATAATTATTTGTATTGAATTTTTTAGCTTTATTATTTGTTTCTATGAATCTTTTTAAAGATTAATTTATCATATTATGATTTATATTAATTATATTTTCATTCCATTTTTTCAAATTATAAAGATATATAAGTATATAAAAAATAATTAATATTAACAAATAAACATTGTTATATTGCAAAAAAAAATATATGAGTTCTATAAATACAAATTAAGTATTAACCACCATTTAAAATAATAATAATTTGTATTATCAAAAAGAAAAGTATTCGATACAAATTAGATCCCAAAAACGCAACTAACTTTTAAAAACTCATCGAATGTATCCTTAAATTAAGACTTTATTTTCTTAAAATAAAAAAATATAAAATAAAATTAAAAAACTATCAATAGAATCTTTAGAGGAGCCTTTAAAAAGTCAAACATTAAATTTATATAAAAATGAATATCTACCTTAAAACTTATCTTAATTAATAAAATAGTTAAAAAATTCACAAACCATATTACAATTAAATGAAGCTTTTATTGGAATAAGAAAAATCTTATCTTCAGAAGATGATTCTTTTTTATAGAAAGTCATAGATAATAATTGTATCCAATATTTTATCCAAAATGCATAATAAAATGTAAATCCTGTATTATAACTGGAATCTATTTTTATTTTAACTTTAATATCTTCAGGGACAGAACATTAGATTAAATCAATAATAGAAAAAGGAGCGATTTCTGTATTTATTAATTTACTTGAATCACCTTTTTTGGATATTTTTTAATAAGCAGTTTGGGCTGTAGGTACTTTAGCAAGTGAATAAAATAGCTATAGAGACCTTATTTTAGACACTAGGGCTTTAGAAAGTCTAATAAATATATATAATTAATAAATAAATGAGTAAAAAATAACTAAAAATGTAATTTGGGCACTAAGTTCTCTTTGTAGGGGAAACCCAAAACCTTAATAAGAAAAAGTGAAAGACTGCTTAGATATATTTTGTAGAAGTTTTTTAGAAGAAAAAGATATGGAAACTATTCTTGATTGTATTTGGGGAATATGCTCTTTGTGTGAATATGGAGAAGAGCTTATTTAAAGAACTTTAGATTTTAGAATAATTTAAAAATTGGGCTTTTAATTAAAGAATGGTTTAGGGAAAATCTAAGTGGGGTGTTTGAGAATTTTAGGAAGAATTTTTTTAGGAAATGAAAATTAAATTAATTTTTTTTTAAATAATTATATGGAAATCCTTAAATTAATTTTTGAGATTATTAAAGGCGGAAAAAAAGCAATTAAAAAAGAAGCTTTATGGACTTTAGGAAATTTAAGTGGATTTAAAATTGGTAGTAAAATTATTTTGGAAGATTTTTATTAGATTATGTAAATTTTGGAATTTGCATTTAATTAAGTACAGTCAGAATTATAAAATGATGCTTTATGGATTTTAGGAAATTTAATTAAGTTTGGAAATAGAAATGATGTTTTATAAATTTTTAATGAAAGTAAATAATTTTTTTCTAATTTTTTTTAAGTTTTGGAAAGGAGAGAAGATATAGATTGCTTGATTTTGGGTTTGAAATGTTTAAAGTATTTACTTTAATAAAGTTAAGAAATTAAATACGGCTAAGAATATAATTTGCTCGCTTTGGAAATCGAAAGAAGAGGAAAGTTAAAAATTCTAGAATAACTTTAAAATCATCCTAATTAAATTGTATATGAAAAAACTGTTTTTATTTTAGAAAAGTATTTTGAAGTGGATAATGAATTTTTTATATGATATTATTTTTAAAAAATTTAATTAATTTATTTAAAGAAATATTTTATATCATATTATAAAAAACAATTATAATAAACTAATTAAATATGTAATTAAGAATATATTTTATAAGAGAAATATTATTTTTATTTATATTTTTTATATATAATTAAAATATCTCTTTTAAAAATTATAATAATACATTTTTTTTTATTAAATATATACAATTATAATATTAATTAATATAGAATTTAAATCATAAACTACTGTTAATGTTAGTCTTAGATTTTAAAGGAGAATTAGAATAATAATATTTTTTCCAACATATTTAATATCTCTAAGCTTATTTTGTATTATTAACCCTTTCTAAAAATCTTTAATAACTTTTTTTTATTCTGTTTTAAAATAATCATAATATTAAATATGTTAATATTTATTTGGATAGGTATCTAATTCATAATTTTTATTAAATATTTTATTATTTATGTTTTTTTATATTTCTTTTTATTAATTAGTAGCCTTATAATGCAGTTTTTAAATTTTATCAACGTAATTTTATACTTTAAAGTATTTCTTCTTATTAAAATATTAATTTTAAGATGTTTAACATTTCGGATATTTTTCTATAAAATTAGATTTTTCAAAAAAAATTGATTTTTCTAAAAAATTTGATTTTTCTTAAGGTTTTTTACATAAAATATTTTCTTATGAATTATTAGTTTGTTCGATATTTTTTATGGATACGTTAAAGCTTTTTTATTCTTTTGGTATTACTTTAAATGAAATTTATTTTATTGCAAATTTATTGTTTATTTAGGGTAAAGATTATTTAACTTCTAAACAAAATTTTTCTCCAAGTTCAGTTTTTTTTATCATGTTTTATATAGATTATTTACTTTTTAATTATATATATTTGCTTATTTTATTTTTTATTTATTTATTAGTTCATTTAATTTAAAAACTTTAAATAATTTTCAATTTTATATGAAAAAAAGTTAAGAAATTAGTTAAGAAAATATTAAAACTTTTATTTTATGAAAAATACTACACAAAATTAATTTTTATTCATATTTTTTTTTTTTTTTCATAATGTATTAATGTAAAATTATTTTATCATACATAAAATGAAAAAAAATATTTTATTAGAATTTAAATGAATTTAAAATTAAATTAATATATAAATTT